ATCTCGTTTCCACCCACCATTAAGGTGTTGATTGTTTGAAATCCAATGATTTAGGTGGATCTGATATGATCCAATCACTCAATAGATGTTGGATTTTGTCATCCGATCCGATCAATTAACATCAGACATCTTATGAAAGTCAATCAAATGGATGATTGGATCGAAGCGTTTACATCCATTGGAAATTATTATTGGTTGTCCATTTGGATCATATTGGATCTATCAGATATTTTGATACATTTTCAACCAATTATTCATATATTATCTTAACTTATCAAAACCACCAAGTATTAGTATCTAACAAAAAACAATATGGTAAAATGTTAATAACAATATATGTTTATTAACTGGATGGTAATCAAATTGGATTAGTTTGATTTTATTGGATTTTGAACTGTCATACAAGAATCAACTTATCCAATTTGAATGTTGATTTTTTGGACCTGATCCAATCCAATTATGGTCGATTGAATCTAATTGGATCGGATGACTTTCTAAATACCACTACCCACCGTAGCCTTATTCTCCCACCACTAAAACCTCCATTTCTCACCCCAACTTCTTTATAACCTACATGTGTTTTGACCCAAACAATTTTAAAAAATGGGTTTGGGTTGTTTTAGAAGTTTTCTTGAAATGGATGGTTGGTTTGGTAAACTAGACCCATTAGATGACAATGAAGTATTTTTTTCCCTTTTTTTCTTGAACATCAAGAAACGAAATTTATTAGATCAAAACCTTGCAAGACGTTAGATTATATGATGTTTGAAAAACATAAACAAGGATTATAACACGAGATTTCCCCAACTCGACTCTGTTTTTAACCCGCAGAAAAGAGTAGAATTGGACCTCGTTAACAGCTTCCTGCAACGCCTGAATCTTGCCATTGAAGATTTTATCGTTCTGACTCCTCCATATCAACCAACAGACCGCAATACATATCACATACAACATCTGTTTGATCATTTTTCTTATTAACTTGATATAAATGTGTCAAAACATATTGACCCGTCAACATTTATTAGATCTATTTTTTTAATTTTATAAATAGTTAGTATTACATTCATTGTATATACGAAAGAGTTTAAACAAGAATACTCTTTTACTATGTCAATTACATGTGATATTGACATACTGTAGTCTATCATATGTGATACTAAATTAGAGATTTGGGTGACCTTTGGCACGACGTAGGTTCTGGGCCAAGTCGCCGACACACCAGCAGATCCCCTTGTGTGTATTATCACATGTGGTAAAGATGTTCTTGTGTTTTCGTAAAACGAAGATGTTTTCATTTAAATCCTGACACACACATAGGGCTGTAAACGAACCGAACGAACACGAACGGAGGCTTGTTCGTGTTCGTTCATTTAACTTAACCGAACAAACGAACGAACATGAACGGTAAACGAACGAAAATCTTTGTGTTCGTGTTCGTTCGTTTAGAAATAAGGTGTGTTCGTGTTCGTTCGTTTAGAAATAAGGTGTGTTCGTGTTCGTTTATGTTCGTTCGTTAACATGCTAAACGAACGTAAACGAACGAACATAAACGAACGGGCTAAACGAACGGGCTAAACAAACATAAATAAATATTACTTGAATTCAAAGTAAATAAATAAAAGATTGTATATTAAATTTAATATATAAACGAACATAAACGAACGATAAATGAACGAACGTAAACGAA